TATGTAGCACCTTTAATTTTAAATTATTTACATTTATTACCCTCATATTACTTCCATTACCTGATTTCGTTAATAAAGCTTTATATATACACTAAATACATAAATTTTATTATACTATTTTTCTTTATTTATGTTTTAAGCTCACCTTTTATCATTACAAAATATAGCGTAATAATGCTTTTTTAAAAATATAACATTACTTAGTTAGATAAAAAAAACCAAACCAAACCAACCTAAAATATAATAATTATGTTTTAATATTTTACAATTATGTATTATGTTAATAGTTTAATACAAAATTAATCAACATTACATATGCTATTTTGCCAAGTAACTCATATTACAAACAAATAAATCCAATTATATTATTTTTGCTGATTTTATTAATTTTTGTTTATAATTACAAAATAAATATAAAAATTAATTTTTTAAAAATATAAATAATTTGTTCTAAAAAAAACTAATGTAAAAGTTAAAACCTAATAAAATAATAAAATAAATTTAAATTCAAAAAAATATATATCGAAGTTTGAATATTATTTAACAAAGTAATTTATAATACAATAGTATCAACAAATAAATGTAAATACTATTTAAATTATTTTCATAAAATTGATATACAACTAAAAATCAATATTTATTTTGAATATATAAATAAATTGTACCATATTTTTATTAAAAAACTTAAAATTAAATAAAAGATAAGAACATATATTTTAATTTCTAAATGCATATGCAACTTTGTTTATTTTTAACCAAATATTTAATAATGATGATATCTATTTATTAATGATTGCAATACAGTCTCTTCATAGATATTTTGGGGTATATGCAAAAAATTTATTCATTTTCACTATTTATTAAAAAAGAACACGGATGTCACGGATGCTAGAGAGAAAGAAAAATATCATATTTTCTTGGATGATACAAAATCCAAAAAAGAAAAATGCATAATCGTCTCAATGTATACCTATTACACATGATATTCATTTTAGCCAATATCATAATCGTCTCAACATTTTAATTTGTAATTCTTTTGTCTACTTAATTTTCTTGTATTACAATAGTTTTTAAATGTCATGTAGCGGTGTCAGTTCCGTGATTTTTTCTATTTTTGTTTAAATGTATATTTAAATTTATATTGTGTTGTAAAAAATCATAATTTTATAACATATCTATAATATAGTTGTTGATCGGATATTTAAATCAATATGCATTCGTAGTTTCAATCATAATATAATTATGAACTTACTAACAAAACATTTATTTTTATAAATTATTAAAAAAAATTTATCATTGTTTAATAATTACCTTATAATTTAATTAAAAGTATTTTTTATCTTGGGGTTGGCTAAAAAGACACCCTATTTTACCATTTAGACAACTCTAATTAATGTTTGAAATATTTTTATTGGTTGAAATTGCATTGTTTTCTGAAAAAGATGATTAGAAGTAGTTGATTATAGATTGATTTTTTATAAAAATGATTATAAAGTGTTTAAGAAATGTTTTACTAGCAACATCATTTATTTTTCTCACTCCTAGTATTCATGGGTTATAACCTAACTATAGATGTCATCATTATCATTTAAATAGGTAAAAGATACAAACAAAAGTAAACCGATATTTAATTTGTCAATATTTATATATCTATCTAAAAAAGCGTATTTCCCAATTCTATACCATGATATGTGTATGATACGTGTCAAATTTCCAAACGGAGCAAATGTATTAGACTCAAAATCAATTTCATTCTCTACTTTACTTTAAAATAGTTTGTTTTTATTTTTTATTTTTCTTTTTGGAGTTATTTTTGTTATTTTATTATTTTCTTTCTCCTACACTTAGAGCCCAAATAATCCCCACCTATTGACCATTTTCCGACGGTCGATATATTGGTTTAAAGCACATTTCGTCGGTGAGTTTTGCGGGCCCTTATTTCAATCTTTTATCAATTATAAAATTTTAGGGGAGGAATATATATTAATTTATTATATATCGTTATTATTACTGTATAAACATTGTTGTTATTTATGTTGTTACTATGTCTATTTAAAATGGATAATATTTATATTATGGAATATTTTTATACTATGTTGTTACCTATTTAAAATTGATTATTTTTATAGTATGATTATTTTTATAGTATGTTGTTTCTCTGCCTGCTTAAAATTGATTATTTTTATACTACGTTGTTATTATGTCCATTTAAAATAGATAATATTTATATTATGTCGTTACCGTGCCTGTATAATATTGATAAATATGATACGCTACTCTGCTAGTATAATATCTTAAATTATTTTACACTATCATACTTTGCCCGTATAATATCTTTAATTAGTATACGATGTCGTTACTCTACATTTTTTTACAATGGATAATTTTCATACAATGTCGTTACGCTGCACGTTTAATTTTTAAAAGATAATCAAACGATATAACTATATATTGATATAATTATACAACGAAACATTGGTTTAATAATTGAAAATCTTAAAGTTAACACTACAACAACTAAGGCTATGCAATCACTGGTTGGATGAGACATATTTATCATCTAAGTGTAATACTTAGCCAACACCCCTTCCCATAATCATTAAATCTTAAGTGAGCGAGAGAGTTATGCAACCATCGACGGTCAAGTCACGGGTGATACCTGTCTAAACATTATGACGTCCGATGAAGCATCGGGGGGGGGGGGGGGGGAGGGTAACAACAAGTCAACATCTCGATTATGGGAACTCATTGTAACATTTATAGTCACGCCGTAAGCAAACAATTACATAAGTTAAATTAATACTTATATACAGTAAAACATATTTTCAATCAACAAAGTATACTTATAACAAACACACTTCCGGTCAAGAAAGCACATATGTATCAAACATACTTTCGTTCAAGAAAGTACATACTTAACGAAACACATTATCTATTAAGAAAGAACTCTTTTAGCAAATATACTTTTGCTATAAAATTACACTATCAGTGAACACATTTTTGTATAAAAGTACAGCTTTATAAACATATTTGTGGTATAAAAGTACACTTTCTGTAAATATATTTTTGATATAAAAGTACACTCTCAGTGAGCATATTTTTGTATAAAATACACTATTTATAAACATACTTTTGGTATAAAAATATATTTTCCGTAAACATATCTTTGGTATAAAAATATACTTTCCATAAATATACTTTTGGTATAAAAGTACTCGTTCATTAAACATATCTTTGATATAAAAGTACATATTAAGTAAACATACTTTTAGTAGAGATTAGAGAAGTACTTTCGATAAAACCCTACAAACCTGTAACTCACCAACATTATGTTGATATTTTTAAAATCGCTTGTATTTCTAGGGAAATAAGAAATTGAAGCTTGCACTACCGGAAGTCGAGTCGTGAAGTCAAAAATACCTATAGATCAATGATGCAGTTTTATTAAGTTGCATATTGTTTAAAGCTCAAATTTTTGTAATTTCGAATATCATTGTAATATTTTTTCCAATGAAAATACATTTACTATTTTGTTATATTTTTGTACTGTTTAATAACTGTGATTACTAATTTACGGCGCGTACATCGGTGTTTCCACCAGCGGCCGAGGGTGTGACCTAAAGTGAGAAACATAAAATTCAAAATCACATGTAAGAGTTTATATAACATGTTTTATGTTAAAACAATGAATAATCATCGTTAAAAGGTATTTGAAAAATCATTGAAGAAAATAAAAAAATACGAGAGTTTCAAATCAATATGACACTTGAAAATATATCTATGTTATAATAGATATATAAATTGTTACCGTTTAAAAAAACCAAAAATAAAAACAAGGGATAATGACTTCAGAGGGTAACATACTTTTGATTTTGATCACATTTGGTCACTGAACTTTTTTTCGTGCTCTATTAACCCTTTAACTTGTTGATTTGTGCAAAATTTCCCCTTCCGACCGGGTTTAGCCGGTTTCAAACGGTTTATTGATCCTACGTGTCAGTTTTGATCCTAACTGGCATCTAGGGTTCTTGTTATTAAAGGAGGGGCGTTTGTTGTTCATTTATTGTGCTCTAATACCCCGTTGCCCTAATACCCGATGGCTTCCTCCTACAGCATCTCATCCTCCCTCAATCGATCAAGCAAGAAATCCATAGTGAATGATCCAAAAACTTGTGATTGTGGGTTCCCTGCACGTATTCTAACATCAACAACACCAAAGAATCCAGGGAGGCATTTCATGGTGTGCAATGAGGTAAGCAATTTCACTTAAATTTCCCCTCTTTTCTGATTCATTTATTCCAGATTTGAAATCTCACTTTGAAATTTTATTGTGGAAGGGTAAATGCAAATATTGGAAATGGTTGGATGTAGAACTTGTACAGATGCCTCTGATGGAAGTGGTGGAGGGAATGAAAGCTGAATTAGTAGCATTGAAGACCGAAGTAGAGAAGGTGAAGGAAGACATGGAACAGATGAAGAAGGAAAAGTACTCTGATGCCATTGCAATGAAGGAGAAAATATATAAGTTTACCATTGGATTTCTTTTTCTGATCATCGTGTATATGATGAAATGAAGTCACATGATGTATTGAAAGATGTTGTTTGAATAGAATAGAGTTGTTATCTTAACTTCTTGTTGGAATGGAATGAAGTAACATTGATTGTAATGGAAAATTTAATTATAAAGAAGCATACATATTAACTGCATACATATTAACTTTGATTGGAATGGAATCACAAAGAATGGAATGAAGTAACTTTGACTGGAATGGAATCACCAAGAAATATTTTTGACTGGAATGGAATCATAAGGAAGCATACATATAACAATGAATACATATTTGATTTTGACTGGAATAGAATCACAAAGTAGCATGCATATAAAGAATTAGTTTTGACTGGAATGGAATCACAAAGTAGCATGCATATAAAGAATTAGTTTTGACTGGAATGGAATCACAAAGTAGCATACATATAACAAATACATATAATAAAAAAAGTAAGTGAATGTGGTGGTTGGATTCATTGTAATACGCCATTAATATTCTACAGTTATATAAGTTTTTGTCTGCATACACAAAAGTAGTTTCTAGGTAACACAAAAGATTCCTGCATAGACAAAAGAAGGGCCACCATGTGCCCATACACCTACTTGATAGTACCATAGAAAAACATAATAAAAAGACTACTACTTTGTCTTTACATCACAACTGCCTTACAAAAGATATTCCTACCCACCCACTATTATCCCCTAAATTAATCAATAACTGAAGGGTTATCTGCATTGCTCCCAACCCCAGGTATCTGCCTCCTTAATGCTTGTTTGATAATCCGTTCAGAATATTTCCTCCTTCCACTTCTACTAACTGGGACCCTTCTTCTTGGCATGGGGGCTGCAGGTGGTGGTGGAGGAGGTTGTTGGGCTGCAGGTGGTGGTGGTCCTTCATTGCCCCTGGATAAACTTGGGTCTGCTCCACTGCCCCTGGATGAACTTGGTACTGCAAACAAAAATTAAAATGTCAATTCTTTGTTCAAATGATGTAATTTTTTTAAAAATATTCACCTGATGTATTGCTTTGTTGGTTAGATGGACACTTTTTCTTGTTGTGACCTGGTTCCTTACAAATACCACACTTTATTATGCTACCCCTTCTTGAGACAGTTTGTCTACTTGATCCACTCAACTCTCGTTCAATTGCATCCCTCTTCCTTTTCACAGATGGCCTACCAGGTAATCTTCTTCTTTTGGGAGGCAAAGGATTATGGTATGGAACATCTGGCCACATTTCACTACTATTGAGAGGATTAATGCTATATTTGTAGCATTTTAGGTAAGCCTCAGTAGTGTATGATTGGGACACATATGCCTCAGCATCATGATTTAAGTAAGATATTGCTGCCACTCCATGTAAGCATGGTATCCCTGTAAGTTGCCATATTCTACAGGCACACTTCTTTGCAATTAGATCCACTCCATATGCAACATCAGTGAATCTAACCTCATACTTTTGATAACCACAAGGAGTAACTCCCCACAATCTGTTTAAGCATATTAACATCAGTGAATCAATAACACATCCTCATAATTAACATAAGCATATTAAAGTAAAATAATTACCTCTGTTTAACCTTCAGATGTTCTATACGCTTCCTAATAGTTGGACATATAAGCAAATCCCATTCCATTCCTTCAACTCTTTGAGTGTATATCCTTTCCATCACAAATAACCTAATCTCCTCCAGCATAGTGATTATAGGTCTCCTTCTAGCATGCCTAATAGCAGAATTGAAACTCTCACTGACCCCATTCTCCACTGCATCACAGTCTCTTCCTTCTTGAAAGAATGCCTTAGACCAGGTAGTAGGATCTCTGTCTATAAGGTAATCATAAGCATGAGTATCAATAGATTTGATGTTCTCCATTACACCTCTGAACTTCTCCACAGTACTAGCCCTTACAGCCCTCCAAAATAACTTTATGTATTGTTGACCAGTAAACCTTTTATTAAAATTGGCCAGAATGTGTCTAGCACATTGTCTATGTTCAGCTTCTGGACATTTTCCTTAACTGCTTGTAATAACCCCTACAAATCACAACATCATTATGAGTGAAAAAGCATAAAAATGAAGCATAAAAATGACCTAGTACTAACCTTGTGTCCATCAGAAAGAAGGGTAATGCCTGCACCAAGACCACCATTAATGTCATCCATAAGCAAATCTATGAACCACTTCCATGTTTCTTTATTCTCAACACATACCACAGCCCATGCTAAAGGGTAGATGTGGTTGTTTGCATCTCTCCCAACAGCTGAAATAACTTCTCCTCTAACTATACCCTTTAAAAAGCAACCATCAAGCCCAATTACTGGCCTGCACCCTTCTAACCAACCATCCCTTACAGCTTTGAAACACACATAAAACTTAGAAAACAAAGTTGTGGAATCTGGCATGATGTCTACATCCAATCTCACAGTAGACCCAGGATTTGACCTGATAATTTCCTCACCATATGACCACAATCTCCCATAATGTTCAATTAAACTTCCTTCAATCTCTTGTAATGCAAATTTCTTTGCATTTCTGCATTGCCCCACACTCACATTTATGTTGAATGTTGTTGACACTTTAGCTTTCATCTTCCTTGCACTCATTTTGGGTTCTCTATAATTTGACTCATAAAATGTTTCCCTATCCATCTATAAGTTACAATTGACCCAAACTTAAACACCCTACAACAATTATGTTCATTCACTAGAGATTTGATCTGAAAAGTCTTTTCTTTACCCATCCAGGAGGCCCATAGTCTGAAAGGGCAAGATGGTGACTTATTCTTTTTGCAACATTTCACTAACAATCTATCAGAGTCATTTTTTTCAAACCATAGATCATACCCATTAGCAACTGCATAATTGCTTAACATATGTTTAAGCTCAGTAGGGTTACAAAATCGCATACCTATAATTGGTTTCATCTGATCCCATGGCTGTCTCTCATCATACACAGGGTACTGGGGTGGCACGTATTCATCATCTTGATCTTCACTCTCTATAGGTTCACAAAGGATGTTTAAAAATCTATCACGTGCAGTTTTGTTTGCTGGAAATGGATAGGTAGCATCATCTTCTTCATGATCAACAGAATATGAATCTTGAATAACTGAATCCTCATCTTCATCTAAGTCTTCGTTTTCACTTTCACTTTCCTCAGCCTCAATCCAGTCGAAGATAGGTTCATTATGGTGATCCACATATACATTCATTCTCTTGTCATTAGCATACGCCAAATCCAAAAATTCCTTGTAATCACCGTTGTTCACCAGTGTATGAATTCCAAGACCTAAAGACTCTTGTGGAAGGCAGAAATAGATGTCTTTGCTTCTCGAGTTGGTGAGCTTGTGAAGGAATTCCATGAATTGCTCATACCCAAACCCACTGAAGTCAACATCTCGCACTGATGCTCTGTTGGGATCAAAGTAAACTAAGGGATTGGGTGCAAACTGACCATTGTAGTGGAAATCCACTACAATGAAGTTCTGATCAGTAGGATTTGGAGATGATGCCATAGAACGGTTGAAGGAGATGAATGATCGATGGAGAATTTTGTGACCTAGTCGAGTTTAAGGACCAAATGAGACTTCGGGGTGTGGTTTAATGAGACGGAGACGAAAAATCGGGCCCTACATGCCACCTCTTTCGCCACGTAAGATAAAAAAATACACGTAGGATCAATAAACCGTTTGAAACCGGCTAAACCCGGTCGGAAGGGGAAAATTTGCACAAATCAACAAGTTAAAGGGTTAATAGAGCACGAAAAAAAGTTCAGTGACCAAAGTGATCAAAATCAAAAAA